CCAATTGGAAATTTGGTAAAAAGATTTATAATTTTTATTATTTCCTTAAGGATGTTTGAGATGTATGTCAAAATGCTACGAAGAGAATGAAAATTTCGGAAAATGTTTCTTCTTACAGAAACAAAAAAAAACTGTAATTTTGTATCCAGTACAAACAGCTAGGGTGTATTTTATCTATTTTAATAAAGTGTATTTTAGATAGAAAGAAATAAAAAGAAACTTCTATCTTTGTTATTTATACATATATGATACAGAACGAAGAAGGATAGAGTTTGTACAAAATCAAAGGACACAAATATACTGTCTAGCCAACATCATAAAATGTCATAATTAATATTCAAGCATTATTAATACTTCAATATTTAAATCGATAATGATTTAAATCAAACTGACTTCTACCTTAAAATCAAATTCAAAGTGTATTCACCCTCACAAGTTACTAACAATTTTTTTATATTATTTATCATTTCTTATTTAATTCAACAATATTGGTACAATTGCACCCTTTTTTTTAATTATACATTCTTTTCTAGCAGGAACATAATGAATTTATTTCATAATATATTGTAAAATGTAAATATTTACGAATTTTACACTTTACCTCCAATTGTACGTCCCAAACATTCTTAAGCGATTAACTACACAACATTGAATGGTAGTATTGTGTAAGTTCACAACAATGGTTCTTTTTTGCTTGGAAATAAAATTGGAGTCTAGCCTTTTTTCAACAAATTATTTGCTGATAAATATCTTGAAAATGTTTGTTTTTATTTTTCAAAATTTTCATTTCTTTGTTTTATTTTTATCTATGATACTAATAATGTTTTCTTGATGAATAAATGAGTCTATGATTATTTGTGTTGAAGATTCGTCAATTATACGTATCACTATGTTGTACCCATTTGTGTGTGTGATTGTTCATGCGATTATGCGTGAGGGGTTAAAGGACAGTAGCAGATTATGCGTTGTTAATGACTACGCTTGGCGACAATAAGGGGTGGGGGTAAGTTGCTACGAGCATACAAGGAAAAAAGTAGTAGCCGTTTTTTTTTTCTGTGGTGGACATGTGCAGAGTATGTAGTGCAAGTACGTAGATTGTTCCCTCGATATGCAGTGTGTTATGTAGTTGGCTTTTCTAGTTAAATAAACAGTTTGTTTGGCTTCATCACCTATGCCTTTTCTATTTTATTGCCCTTAACGTTAAACTACCATCATTTTTTTATACTCTTTTATTAATATAATTATAGATTTTATATTTTGAGGTTATACTTCTTTTGGMGCGTTTGGGAAAAAATGATGAGAGTGAATTTTTACGATGCGCGCGAAYAGCGATACAAAAATCGACACTACGAAGTCTGTCGGTATTTACGATGCGCGGGAAAAACGATTTCAAATTTACGCCATGAAGTGATTCGATATATCTCCCTTACATTTAGTGTGGACTAATATTTATATTCTGATATTTCTATATACACAACACGTGTTTTATATCGATGCAAATAAAAATTATTTATGTGTTTTGACGTTATTTAACTATTACATACAGTTGTAATTGATATTAACACTATTTCTACCACGATTTTTGTATACYTATTTCGTCCAAAAGGTGTCTTTTGCCACCTTTGCGTTTAACTGCAAATTATTGCAAAAATTGTTAGAATTTCAAATTACTAGTTAAATATAAATAATTTGAGCAATATAACGGGAACAATAATTAAAAAATATTACCTTCTTCATATTTTTATTTTNTAGCCAGCCACATATATCGATAATGACAGTCAGATCTACGGATGAACAGTATTTTATGTTAAAGGAATTTGCAGGGCTGACTAAACCATTCACTCACCTAGGGCCGTGTCAGAAGGGAGTAGCGCATTATATCGAGACGGAAGGGCCACCAGTAGCCTATCCCTTCCGCAGGCTTCCCCCTGAAWAACTAGAAGCAGCTAAAGCCGAATTTCGATATTTGGTGGAAATGGGGATCTGCAGACCATCAAAGAGCCCTTGGGCGGCACCGCTGCACTTGGTTCCCAAGAAACAGCCAGGCGTTTGGCGACCTTGTGGAGATTATCGCGGTTTAAATGCTGTCACTAAACCAGATAAATATCCTCTACCGCACATCCATGATTTCGCACACGGGTTATATGGGAAAACCGTGTTCTCGACAATAGATCTGAATAGAGCATATCAYCAAATTCCAGTTGCTGAGTCAGACATCCAGAAAACTGCAGTAACGACACCGTTCGGACTTTTCGAATTCCTTACAATGCCATTTGGTCTAAAAAACGCAGCCCAGACATTCCAACGATTTATTAATTCTTTGTTCCAGGATTTAGGCTACGTGTATTGTTACATAGATGATATACTGGTCGCTTCCGAAAACCGGGAAAAACATAGGGAACATCTACGTACAGTACTTAGCAGGTTACAAAAGGCAGGCATTACGATTAACGTAGACAAGTGCAATTTTGAAGCTGATAGGGTGGAATATTTGGGGTATTCAGTTGATAAGAAAGGAGTAAAGCCACTGCCAAAGAGGGTAGAGGCGATAATGAATTATCCTAGACCAAGGACAGTAGTAGAGTTAAGAAGGTTCCTGGGTCTTGTTAATTATTACAGGAGGTGTATTAAAGAGGCGGCACAAGGTCAAGTGAAGTTGACTGAATTTCTCACAGACAGCCGCAAAAATGACAAGCGCCCAGTGCCATGGACGAGGGAAGCGATAGAGGCGTTTGACCGCTGCAAGCAGGCGCTAGCCGAAGCCACAAAGCTAGCACATCCAAAACCAGCCGCACCACTTGTCCTGACCACAGATGCATCAGATGTAGCGATAGGCGCAACGTTAGAGCAGGTCGATGGATATGTAAGACAGCCTTTGATGTTCTTTTCAAAAAAACTTTCGGAGACGCAATGTCGGTATARCACGTATGACCGTGAATTACTGGCGATATACGAGGCAATTAAATATTCGAAAGATTTCATCGAAGGAAGGCAGTTAACAATACGTTCGGACCACAAGCCCTTAACTTTTGCATTTCAGCAGAGGTTAAATAAGGCATCACCGCGTCAGACGAGACAGCTAGAGTTTATTGCACAGTTCTCCACTCAGATTGTCCATGTAGGGGGTTCTGAGAACATTGTGGCAGACGCATTGTCCCGTATAGAAGCTGTCAACGTCCCAGTAATAGTTTCTACAGAAGAGTTARCTCTCGAACAAAGTAGAGATGAGGAGCTAAAGCACATCTTAGCTAGCAGTTCCAAAT